CTTTATTTCCTGTTATTCCTAAAACCTGTTGGAATAGTTAACAAATGGCTTTTTTCAAATGATTTTGAGTTGTAAACTGAATGAATGAATTGAGAATCATTGGTAAAGAGATAATATCCCAAAAAAATCAATAATTCAAAAATAGGTGCAGCAGAGTTGAGTGGCTCTTCAATCAAGTCAAAATATTTTCTTTTACATTTTATTCTCATATCATGAATTGATAATTTTCCATTTTGTTTAAATATATAATAGCATGTATCATCAATTTTATAATTTGCATAATTAAAACATGCTAGAAAAATTCTAATCTATTAATTATTCAAAATAAAGAGCCACGTCTTTACTATTTTTTCCTTTTTTTTGACATTTTAACCAAAAATTTTTATGAAATTTTTTGGCCTGGAAAATGGACATAATTTTAATGCCAAAATGAATTTAGTTACACATTATTATCATCTCAAGTACATTTTGGATAATGTTGTATACTTTTCATTTGAAATATTACAATTTTCAAGTGATTTGGCTTCAGTAGGACAATGAATGTCATAAAATATAGGTTGTTCAAAGTGTTCACTAATTTCATAATCTGTAGCAACTATTACTGTTCCAATAGTGTAATTTAAATGCTGACAAACAATGTCCATTTCTAATTGATTTACTGACACAAGACTAATTGGAAGCCATTTTTCAGAATCAAATATTTGTAAACTTCCATAAATCTCTTCACCTACCGGAAGTGAATCACTATATATATGTTTAGTATGTTCATTAAACATTCTCATTTGATTTTCTATATAAATTGACAGTTGAATAGTTTATTTAAAGAAAAGAGAAAAAACTGGCCAACTTGTAAAATTTCGATTCTTCTCACATGGTATATTGAAAAAAGTGATAGATTTATAAATATTATTGATTACGCAATAATTTCCTGAAAGTTTGTCTAGTTTGCAATATGAAAACAAAGGACGTACTGTAATATTTTCCTAGAGTATGTTATTGTCTTTTAAATGTTGTTTAAACAAACTTTAACAAACTTTTACAAATTTGAACTTGAACAGTTTTTTGAATAGAAGAAACTGAACAATATTCATAATTGTTATAATTAAAATTCTATTAAGAAAAACTGTGTGAATATTTATAAATTGAAAATTTAACAAAAAATAGAAAAAGTAGAAAAATGACTTTTTCAAAGCCACTGGCTGAATGGGAAAATAATTTTGGTCCTTTTATCATTTTTCTCGTAATACAAATATCTTTTGCCATGCTTAAAAGGTTTTTATTTAGGATATAATACTTGATAGTTTTTATATAGACTGGTGAGTAGTCTGAAATCGTTTTAGCATTCAACAAATAGGCTGAAAGACTCTCGTAGTCATCTGATAATATTTGGTGTTTTAGACAAAAATGACATGGAAATCTGCTAGCCAAATACCTAATGCCTTTCCTAAATAACACATTGCAATTAAACTTTCATTCTTCATTGATTTATAATTTCTAAATCTTGGTATTTTTTCATTTATTTCAAATATTTCTTTGGCTTTTTTCAGTTTTAGTGAATATTTAAATGTTACAAATTGAGCACTGGAGCATATATTATTCAAATTTTCTTTAAAGATTACAGAAAAACTGTCTTTCTTAATTCTTAGTATTGCTTTATACTTAACTCTTCCATTTATATACTGAAGATAAATATCTATATATCAATGTAATTGTTAGAAAGCATGTAGGCTTAAATCTTTGTTCTCCTTTTTTCATACAAACATGGTATATTGGTTTTGAAACATTTTAAACAGGCAGTGAAGATCCTTGTTTTGAAATTTTCTTTAAAGAGTTGACTATAGAATTGAAATTTCTGATTAAAAAATAGGTGAAAAATTGCAAAAAAGAATGTCTCACAATTGGCAACAGTCAGCTGTCCATTTGATTCTTGAATAGATTCTAATAATATCACCTTTTTTGAGAGGAGATTGAAATATTATTTCTTTTATTGACAGAAAATACCAATTAGTGGAAAAGTTGAATTAAAAAACTTTGAATTTTAGAGGTTGTTTTAATACAACTCCACTTTTATGAGTATTTTCTAGCCTATCATTTAAACCTTTATCTCCTGGACAAATTGTTGGTTCACTATAGAATGTATCATAGTGAAAAGTTGAACAGATCTGTCCATAAATGTTATATTTACAATTTTCATATTGAATTGGAACATTGATAGAATCATTCTCTATTGAAGAAACAAATAACTTTCCAATAATAAAACTTTTATGATTTTCTAAAATATTTAATGAAAAATTTGATAGATTTTTAATTCTTTTTAAATTTAAAATGTTGATTAAATATAACAAATAAATTTTTGAAAATATCATTAAACTGTTTTGCTGTGTCGATTTGAGAAAAAACAATAAAACAAAAAACTATACAACTCAATTGCAAATCAAGTAAATAGTATATTGACAACGCCCTGTTGAATAGTGCAAGCTAATTTAAGAAACATGTCATCTGTTACTACTAATTGTAATATATTCTTACATTCTCAGATAATCATTCTCACTGTTACTCAAACAAGATTTTATCTTGCCGTCTGTTGTTATTTTAATAATATTGTACTGTTCCTACTGAACCAATTTGTGTATTTGTAGTACCGCTTCTACTCGAACCTTTAAGCAAATCTTTCGTTTAAATGTTTTATAAACCCACCTCCAATCCCTAACCCAATTATCCTGCTAAAAAAATTCCTTATTACCTAATAGCCTATCTTCCTTTATATTTCATAACTCGTAATTTACTCTATCAAATCTCTATCTTTAAGTAAAAAAAAAGCGGTGATTCTCAATAAATTTTAAACATTCCCAATAGAAATTAGTAATAGATTTTTGGCATTCTCCCCTAATCCAACCCCAATAAATTTCCCATGACCTTACTATGCCTAAGCCTCAGTTGGAGTAATGTTTTTTAGCCTTTCCCTTAATCAGTTTTTGAGCATATATATATATACATATAAGTGAAAAATATCTTATTATTCATAATACTCTATGACTTTTAACTTAAGGTTTATTCTTAACCCTAACCCCATGTTCTTTTAGTTTTATGCATGTGACAAGGACAACATTGACTGTAATTAGTATGGCTAGTAATGATAAAACAGCCATAATTTCTTACAGATAGCTATGGAGTAATTATGAATTGTACAGACAACTTATAGAGGATGCGAAAGAAACGTCCCCAAATTCATGGTTTTACCCTAACCTAGCCCCAGTCTGTCCCTAACCTCTTTAATTAATTGTAATTCTTGGATGGAACCCCATCCCCTTACTACAAATGAATAGTTACTTCACTCCTCCCAACCATTTTTCAACCCAGAATGTTGCCTTCAAATATCTCACTTGGAGACGTTTTCTGACGGCCCTACTTGTAAGTAGTTGCTGGAGGACATGAGAAGTAAATGCAGTTATATCTATTGAGGAAAAAGACTAGACGTGTTTTTCGCTATAACACAATATGAGCATATTATCTAGCATTTTATTTATCATCACCTAGATATCAGAAAGATAATTATCTCATCAATGAAATAGATTGAATATTGAAAGAACTTTTTCGCTTTAAAATCTTTAAATCGCAAACATAATTGTTCTTATAACATTCTTCAACTGGAAAGAATTTTAGGTAAGAAAAACTCAAAAAACACCAAAGAAAAACACTCCAACCTGGTTCGCAAGGCAAATATTTCAATGTAAAACTATTGAAATAGAGAAATGATCTATAATTTATTCTCAAAAATTCAAAATCAGAACTATTAAATTCCAGTTTTATCTATTGGAAAATTTTGATTAACATCTTTATCAGATAAAACGGCCCTGTAGGCTTTTAGGGTAGGATTTTGGGCATTTTTAGGTTTGGGAAAAGTTTCATTCAAGTATTTTCAATTCATGCTGGCATGTTAAATGTTGGGTTAGGGTTAGGGTAAATGGGCCGTTTTCTCTTCAAAAATACCTGTTCAACAGTTTTCGAAATGTTGACTTGACCATATTTTATTCCATTTTGAATTTTCCTATAGTAATACAAAAGAACAAATACCAACTACTTTGTTGAAATAATAAATACCTACTTGAAAGTATCTTCGTATCTATCCTTTACATAAACAACTAGTTTGTCTGTAGAGAAATTTCTATTCGATTTCATTTTGATTGAAAAGCGTTTGTCGGATGAGAATTCTTGAATTTTTGGTGATAGAATTGTTGATACGCCATGTTTAATTGTATGATAATTTGAAAAGAATAAAGATAGAGAATAACCTAGATTGCAAAGATAAAACTTTCAATGTTGAATATTGAAATGAGCAATATTTTTACTTCGTCTTTTTATATTTTTGATATATCGCAGTTCAAAAGTAGAATAAATTGTGTTCAATATTTCATAACCGCATAATCCACAATTAAAATTACACGTTAATCTCTCCACTTTCCGATCATATCTCGGAAATAATGGATTTCTGCAATAACCATCTAAAATATCGACATAATACAATTTAACATTTTCATGATTGAATTGCTTCAGAATAATTTCAATCTGTTGAAAATGAGAAAGTTTTTATATTTTCAGACATGACCTAATTTCTTTTTGCTGTCGTGTAAAGATTACATTTTTGGAGGAACTGTAAGAATAAAATTCAATTTGCGTCTTGTTGGTGAATTTATATTCAATGGAATCGACGTGTTTTAATAATGATGGATTATCTTTCCATTCCATTTGACAAATTGTCAATAATTAATAATTTTTTTTTCAGTTGAAAAGGTCATTATTGCAGTATTATTATTAAAATATTACTGTTATAGAACCATCAATATTCGGTATTTCGTTAGGATCTTTATAATCAAATTCCAAACATATCACCTTTTTACCTGATATTTTTGGAACAAACCGTCAATAAATTCGCAAGAGAGTTGATCAACTAAAATAAATAGTTTAATAAGCTTTTAGCTAGAAATTCAAAATAATTTATATCAACTTTTCTTTGGTTTTTCCCAAATTCCTTTTTCGCACATAGAATTTTTGATGAAGAATCTTTTAATTTTTAAATTTCCTTCCAATACTTTCCTTTCGAAAGGCGTAAATACATTAAATGCAATTCTCCATGATTCTTCATCTAATTATAATTCAACATTAAGAAATAAGGGAAAATTTAGTTTTGGCTGGAAAATCGTTACGGTCATAACGAAAGTTGATTGTTCTCGTATTCGATTGTTTGTCAAAGAGTAGTTTGTAGTCAAGATGATATTGATAATTTGGTGTTTTTCGAATTATATGTATAAGTCATACAGAAAGATCCAGTAATGTTAATGGATGGTCCATGTACTAGGCATTCTTCTAGGTTTTTGAAGGCATAGCTTGTTATGTCCCAATACAATTCTTCATCTTAGGAGAGAAGAAATTCTATAAATAGATTATTATTGTTTCTCTCTCTCTCTCTCTCTCTCGTCCACTCATTCATTCACTCATTCACTCTTCTCTCTATCTATATGTCTTACTTACTTTCATCCATTTGGCGAGTAATTTTGCAAAAACTTCTAGTCCTAGCCGACGTTTCAAAAAGTAGTTTAGCATAGTCCTGTTCAACTATAATAATAATCCATTAAAAGAAATAAGAATCTTGTACATTTTTAAAAATGTTACCTAATTTTATTTTTGGTTTATTTATAAAATGGCTGCCTGTCTTTGGCTTTACGCTATACCCAGACATTACGTAGTAAACTACAAAGGAGCCTACTACGAGAACAACAACCAAAAATGGTACCAAGCTACGAAATTTTAATTTGCATCGAGATGTTTGAACTTGTTGTTCATGCGTAAAAGTTACTGCTAGTGTATCAGTTTGATTCACACTTTCGTACTATGTACATTAATTTTTCTTATTGATTATTTCGAATATTACGCAATAAATTTTATTTACCCTAGCCGACATCGTTATAGTTATCTTGAATTATTAGATATTAAAATCTTCAATTTATTTTCTCTAACGTCCTCACAGAAGAATAGACTTTACTAGGTCAACAGAATATTCCTAGTCGTCTATTCTCAGAAAAAATGCAGACGAAAACAAAAATCCATGACAGTCACGTGACCAAAAATTCTTCCATATTGAATAAATTCTTCTCTAATAGGAGATAAGTTTAATTTCGGAAGCGGAATTCTTGATGAACACTTTATCTTTCATTTGAATTTTTAAAAATTTCTAATTACTGCCTCTCTTTAAAATCAAAGAACAAAGCAACTGATTTCTACTCAGGAGGCTCTCCTCTTAGGGTTAAGGATATAGGAAGCGGTTAAGTATGAAGCAAACGCTGAGTTAGGGCTAGGGTAAAACAAGCAATTTGTCGACGTTTTCTGTCGCATCCTATGATCATACACTATAGGTGGTGCCACCTTGTGTGAGATTATTTTTCTTTAGGTTTTTTGCCATTTTTAAAATCAAGTTAAAAATTAAAATGACTCTTGAACAATTGTGGAATTAATAATTAATTCCAAAAACATCTTGAACATTTTTGGCCTGAATTCGGATTATTTGAATTTCTGTCTTTTAGAAAATAAGTTAACTCAATAGGATATAAATAAAAACTGGAAAAGTCTATTTTTTCCTGTTTCATTGTTACAAACAAAGGATTGTAAAGAAATTTATTGGTTTATTTTTTCAATTGCTTTTTTTTCAACCAGAAGAAGTAGAAGAGAAAAAAAAAGAAAAGAATTGTCTTATTGAGATAGAAATATGTTCAATAATATCTTTTATGATTTTTCATCATTGGAAAAATTTCCGATAAAAATAGTTTATTTACTCTAGTTTTTCCATAGTGAGATTATATTAAATAGCTACATAAGGCGTCCACAAATAAGGAGTTTTGAGATTAGATTTTTGATTGAAAAGTGGTTAGGAAGAGGAACACAGCAACTAATTTCTACTTAGAGGGAGGTAGGGGAGGGGGCAGGAAGGAAGTCTCATCTAAGGGTTAAGAGAAAGGAAAAGGTTAGGCTTTATCCTATAGTCTCTTTCTTAACCTCTTCAAGATCTCCACATATTGTGTGGAGTTAACCATAGTTTCACCATAGTCCATAAATTCAACATGAATTAAGCGTGAATGGTCAGAACATTGTTCGGTCTTCCTTGATAAGCCTATTGACTGCTTCTTCATTTTGATCTGTTACAGATGTTTTTTGGCAACCAGATCTTGGCAAGTGTTCAAAATTCGCTCTTCCTTTTTTTATGTTACATACCCACCGTCTCACTGAACCTTCCCTTGGAGTTTCAGCCCCAAAATAGCTTTTAAACTGTGTATAAATATTCTTTGCAGAGACGTTCTCATGGACTAAAAAGCAATTATTTTTCATTGACTGGAAAGAGTTGCTATGACTTGTAGTTGCTTTTACCTGCTCCCAGGTAAAAGTGGAAATTTTCTAGTACTAAAAACTAGAACAATGATAGGGAAAAATCGGCTAGCCAGGAAAAAACACTGACAATCTTTCTATTGTTTGACATAAAGATTGTTCAAAACTCAATAATACTATAGGAACTTATATCGACAACAATTAATATATTGATCATTTTTGTATGTAAAGTAAACGTAAAGTTTCTGCACTTAGCTATTGAATCATGAAGAGTTTGCATTGCAAAAGTTTTGTTAACTGTATGTTCTTTGCCAGTAAGTATTTTGTATTTTACATTCAAAAACTTTGTTCGAATGTCTTACTTGAATGATTTTTATGGTTATTTCTGTTGTATAGTTATCCCATTGGTAATTGGAGAAGATGATATTGCTAGAAATAAATTGACATTTCAAAGTACTACAACATATCCTCACATTGCAAGTTTGGCTACTGATAGTACTATTGAAATAAATGATGTTTGTAAATTCAAACAAACGAAAATTTCCTCTTAACTAATTTAAAAATTGTTTTCCAGCCTCTAAAATGCTCCAAAACTAATCAGACTAAAGGGAAAGCATGGTGGACTGTTGATCTTGAAAAAGTATATACTGTAACGAAAGTTTGCATTTTGAATGTAAATAGTCCAAATGGTTTGTAAAACTTTTTTGCAATCATCAAAATCACTAATTTAACTATTTTATTTTAGCCGTTAATTTGAAAAATTTCAAGATCAAGGTTTCTGATTATCCACTCGAAGGAGTTGTTTGTTCAACTGTGTCAAATCCAGTAATCACACCAAGTTCAACTGCATCAAGTCAATATGGTTGTTATTTTTGCGGAACGCCATTGGATGGATCATTTATTTATATTGAACATCAAGATGAGGCTGTTAATTTGCATATTTGCGATATTAAAGTTACTGGAACGTATAAAGAGAAGAGAGGTTGTTCAAAAGATTTATAATAAAAATTTAAAATATAAACTGGTAATTTATTTTCTAGACTATTCCGCTGTAAGTATCGAATCAACAGATCTCTTTGGATCTGAATACTCCTCTCCTCAATCAGATTACAATAAAACTATTGATAACGACTATATTACCTATTTTGAAACAAAACTTTTATTTGCTAAGCCAAAGCTTGTTATTAGGTTGCCAACAACAGTAAAAGTGTTTGCAATTATGTTGCTTGCAAACCAAGGTAATAAAAAAATTGGATATTTTCTCTTCAGTCCTTCTTCACAAATCATCATTTTCAGATAGCTCAAATACAATGAAATACAGTTTTGTTTATGTTAACTATATTCCTAATACAATGGGTGCCCTTCCCGATGAAGTTTGCTTTAATTATTATACTCCTCCTCAAAATGGACTGTTTGAAAGTGTATTCAGAAAATGTAATAGTGTTAAAACTGGTAGATACATAATAACTGGAGCAGATCCAGGATTTCCTGTCAAATTCCAACTGTCAGAATTAGTTATCTATGGACAAGAAGTTAAAAATGTCGATAAATATGGTAATGATACACAAGAAAGGTTGCATTTCTTTAATTCTCATTGTTTTCTTTTAGTGATGAGTTTCTCTCATAAAGATAAAATTGTAAAACATGAAAGCGACGGTATCGTTGTGCCAGGTGCTTCTTTCTTGACAAATGATGAATATTTCGGTGACGCATCTGTACTCGTTGTTGCTTTAAAATGGAAAATTTCGTTCGCAAAATCACTAGTAAACACTCTCTGTTTGACAAGTAAGCAATGAAAAAATTGAATATGAACTGGAAGGTTGAATGTATTTTTGTACCTATTTTTAAAGTGAACCACGAGGCGACATTAAAACCAAACCCTACCTTTGAGATAACCAATTTAATTACAAATAAATTTTCTACACAATTATTTGTAGGAAATTTTGAATCAATTAATACACTGTGCAAAACTTTTCAAACCTCTATCTTGGATAGTATAACAATCAATTTTCAATCAAGTCACATCTTATTAGAAATTGATATTTTTGGAAAAACGGAAATGACTTATGATTGTTTGTATTTCCCAAATATTTGAAATATTTCTATTCAATTACAAAACAATGTTTTCTTTCAGTTTCCAATGTTTGTGCAAAAACTGCTGGAGAATTTGCTTTAGAAAACAATGTTGCATGGCCACAAGATTTGCCCTACATTGTTGAAATTCTTGGTCAGAGTATAAACGAAGATATCTTAGTGACAACAACCGTAAATTTGAATTCAAAGAAGATAAATGAAATATGTATCTATCAGAATTCTTTCTCTTCTTCAGAGAGTGGAATTTATGTTTGTGAATCATTTGAGGAAAAATTCCTTATTGCACCTTTCGAAAATAGAAGTAATATCACAAAAATTAATTTTTACAAATAAACTGAAACAGCAATACTATATTGCTAAATTGCAGATGTACAACCCCATTTTGTAAGATCAATATGAGGCACACTGATCATTTATAGTAAACAATAGTCTGCCCCAGTTTTCCTTCTAAATGTCTATGCATCAGCTTCATCCTTCTCCTAATCTCTTATTCTGATGAAAAAGGGACCTGGAAAAAACATCCCATGGAAAGAATGTCTCATGGAATGAACGTCCCAAATATCTATTTGTTGTTTTCATTTCATTCTCAATTAAATTGAAGATTGTAGGTATGGTAGGAGAAGGAAGAAAAAGCAATTCTAATATCTTTCTTAATGTTGATCTTCCATTATTCATATTCGATTGATAGTCTTTACTGTATCCCAAATTCTAAAAGTAAATCTTGTACATTGAAATTGTAGCTAAATTAAAATATTTAACTTAGTTGAATCTTTCTAAACACTGCTTGGCTTCAATCAAATGCACATCCTCTTATGAATTCAGCTGGATAAGCAGATTTCAAGGCTTTCCAGAGGTCTTTCTCAGTATCAACCACTACTTCCTGTGGCATTGAATTATCAGTCATTCTTTGAATTTCCAGAAGGCATAACAGTAAATGTAAATATTGAGTACTTTGTAAAAAGAAAATTTTACCTTTGAAGCCAGGCATTGTAAATTTTCCAATTTAGGAAGTGAATCAGCTTTTTTGCTATAATCAATCAGTACAGTTTCAGCAATAACTTTTCCTGATGACTTTAAATCATATTAGTTTTCTTTAAATATATTAGTTTTCTTTCACAGATGTAATGATGCACCATTACATAATTATAAAATATCAGTATCTTCATACATGTTAGCACATTTCCGAAATATAGAATATTTCTTTTTAAAAAGGGATATTCCTTCAAAAATGGGATGATCTTGCCAAAAATGGGACATTCTTTCCATAACCCAGATGAAAAGCTTCCAAACATATGTCTTTCCACTGTTTTAAGTTTCTACCACTTTGGTGCCAAGTGAAGAAGTGTACCCGTCAAAATAGAAAATACAATAGTGCACTCTTAATAAGTCTCAATAAATAAGATTTTACTAATTACTAATTTATTAAGAAGACAAACAACTCACATTTATTCATCCTATCACTTTTAACAGACGGAGTCAATAGACTGAAACATTTCCAGATTGAATTCTTTTTCCAATTGTTTTGTGTATTTTTCATTGATAGTCTTCTTCTGGAAAGTTTAAGCGATTTGTATACAAATATAATAAACAGAGGTCATTAATCATTCATTTTCTCCCCCACCTTTTTTCTTAACATTGAAAAAGGATTGACCTAATTACTATAACTTTTGTTAAATTATAAGATGATACAGTTGTATTTTCTCTTCTTAGTGTCAAGAATGATATTGAATTTATGATGAGTGAAAATGAAAGAGAGATACTTACAACAATCTTCATTGTTATCAAAGTAATCATAATTATCTGTTGAAATTAACAAACTTGGTTTAATTATCTTTGATTTCTGGTTTAGGGTACAATTTCCAGTTGAATTATTGAACTGAAATGACCTAGTTATTTAAAATATATATTCCCTTTAATGACCTCATTTGCATATTGAAAAATAAATCTTACAAACAATTATATTGAAGAGAAGATTGATAAAATTCATTCCTAGTTGATTTAAAAATGCTGTAATAATCTCCAAACTGAAATGTATACTCTGAAAAATTCTTTTCTAATAAACTACGGAAATGGAAGTGTTAAGTTTTTATGAACCTTTTCAAACATTAATAAAAACTTCAATTTTATAAAAATAGACACAAAAGATGGTATTAGCCATAATAAACAGTTAAATATTAATAAAGCAGTTAGAGCTCTAATACTCCTGCCTTCAGATCCCAAACTAACAGAATTTGATACTTAAGAAATTGCTTTTCTGTGTTTTGTTATTGCTCTCAGTATAGGACTATATAAGAATAAACTGGCTATTGCGTTCGGTAAAACAGTACTAAATAGCCAAACATACATAAATGTAAATGGTATTATGTTGGTAGCTTCACAAAGAAGAGTAGTGTTTTCTATTAAAAAAATTTCATATTTATAAAACAAATAAAACCTGTTTTCAGACTATATTTAAGTAATCTTCTTCTTTACTATAATTTGCTGAGCAGAGCTAAAAAGAAAAAGTTTTTTTTTATTTCTTTCTCATGTTGCTTATTGTTTACTGCTAGTTCAAGTGCCTTTGAATTTAGTGTAAAGTACTATTCTTTAATTGGAATAAAATCCAGACCATATTTCTATCTAGAAAAGTTTATAGGCTTCTCAACTTGTGAGTATATTTAATTTTTTTTTTAGTTTTTGCATTAAAATTATTAATTAAATATTTCCATTCTTTTTTTTCAGCTTTAAAACAACAAAATCTGATGGCACTGAACTACATAGAGCATCTGCGAATCTAATTGACAGTACCAGTTATCACGTGTTTCCATGCTATAAATTTGAAAATATAACAGAACACACGATGATTAGTATTTTACAGACACTTATTTAGATAATGGCTAGGTTAGGTTAAAACCATATATTTATGAACCATTACCATTGGATTTAATTACTTAATTTATGATTGCAGCTATCAAAAACTGTTTTTTGAAAAAGCCAATTGGACAAAGATTGGTAATTGGCTCATTTGAAAAAAACGTTCTGTCAGTCCTGATCTCTGCCACAAGGTCAAAATTATAAGAAATGACCTTGAACCTAAACTTTTTTTGAATTAATACATTGGAGTCTTACTTTATGAGGAGACTAGTGAACAGTACATACCTTTTATTACAATTTCACTAGAGATATAATATTACTCAAAATCTTTAATAAATTATATTTCTAGGTTATCACTTGAAAAAAATATTGAATAGATAATGACTCTTATCAAAGTGAAAAAGCTATTGCTAACTTTTAAGTTCTTATACACATTGGTAGAATTGAATATTAGCCACTAAATGCTAAATGAAAAATACACTTTCGCTTCTATTAGAACCCCACAATATTTTGTTACAAGCAAATGTACCAGTTTTTAATAATTTTACTCACTTTAAGTAAGACGTTTTGATTTTTTTTCTTCATATTGAATGTACATAATATTGAATTCTACCATTTTGACTGAGTGGCATTAGGCAATGGTTTGTCTTCATTTTTAAATATTGATTTCTTTTCAGAGTTAAATAAGATGTTTATTTTATGAATCTAAAATTTTATGTTAGATATAGAAGATAGATAGATAGTAGAAACCGGAAAATTAGTCAGTTCTTGGCTTGTCAATTAGAATAAATAAGAGTCTAGAAGGTTGGCATAGCAGGATGAACAGTCGGGTCAACTTAAAAGGCTCATTCTACATATTAGTCTACACTGCTGTAAATTAAATGAAAAACAGGGTGGACAGATTGGAAATCTACTAAAAAATTGTTTTAGAATAGAAACAATATATATATTATTGAATTAAACAAAGGAAAATGAATTATTGGATATTTGTGAAGGACTTAAAAATTTATCAGATACTTTGAAAAATCTTGAACACAATAGAGAGATTGGAAATTTGTTAAAACCTTTAGAATTTGAGCAAGTTAGTTGTTTTACAAAATATATTTTCAGTCATTGTAATTTACAAATATCTTAAATGAACACATTATAAGCTATAATGTATAAACACATGCTTTATGTTTAGCATGTCCAGAGTGAGAGAGAGAGCTAAAGGTTAAGACTTCACAAATGTAAGAGTTATTTACTACTGAAAATTTAGAAAATAATTATAAAGAAACAAGGAATCGACAGAAAACGTCAATAAATGAGAAATTTGAAGGCTAGATTTTGAGTTGAAATATGGTGAGGAAGAAGAATACAGCAAACTGATTTGTACTTAGGAGGTTCTCCTCTTAGGGTTAGGGCTATTGGAAAAGGTTAGGTACGGCCAAGCGCTGGGTTAGGGTTAGGGCAAAAGCAGCAATTTGTTGACGTTTTCTGTCGCATCCAAGGATAAATAATATTTAAACCACTCCTACATTTTTTTCCAATCAATTACTTGCCAAAAATTGACCTGACAGATGAACCTAATGGTAATATAAACGCACAACTGACATCAATTAGTTGAACTAGCAAGACATAAATGGTATTTATTAGATATAAAGTGCTCAAATCATCAACCTTCTTTTTCTATGTATAGGAATTACATCCATATGTTTAACTTTGAAAAATGTTGAAGCTGAAGTCTAATCTTTTTACTTTGTTCTTCCTTGAAATTACATCCATATAAGTAAAGACTTTTCAAAGCATTTGAAGATTTTTGAAGTGCATCACAAATATGAAAAATTCCATCGTTTATGCTTGTATTCCAAGAAAGTGCAATTACTTCCATGTTTGGACACTTTTTCAGCAAATATGCAATCTCTTTACAATCTTCTTCATTTAAATTACATGCCTGTAAAGAGAGTTCAATTAATGTGTTTACTGATTTTTCAAGTCCTTCACAAATATTAAATATTCCATATCCCATATTTTCATTTTGTGATATATAGATTGATTGCAATTTCGGGCACTGTATCAGCAAACTAGCAAGAGTGGAACTTTTGTCCTTCATTGAGATTGCATGACCGAAAATCCAATTTCTTCATAGTATTCGAAGATTTATGAAGTACATTAAAAATACTATATATTCCATTTCTTATGTTTCTATTTTCGGACAGTTGTAATGTACATATGTTGGAACAATTTCGTAGAACAGACGCAATTGTTTTACCCTGTTCTTCATTTAAATTACATGATCGAAAATATAATTCTTTCAAAGTATTTGCAGAATTTTGAAGTCTACCACTAATAATTAAAAATCCATTTCCCATATCTCCATTATCTGACAAGTCTAATGTTTCTAATTTTGAACAACATTGAAACAAATTCCCAATATCTTTACATTGTTTGTCAGTTAAATTACAATTTCGAAAGCAAATATTCTTTAGAGAATTTGAAGATCTTATAAGTCTATTGTACTGCTCTTGCTGGCAAAATCTAGCAATTTGCAAGTTATAGCAATACTG